TCATATAAACAAAGATAGCGACTTTGACCGTTGCGCAGATCAATGAGTATTAACCAAGCTTTAATTATGTATTTTTAGGTGATTGGAAGGTATCAAAGGAGTCACCGGCTGTATTCAGTACAAGTCGTGCCCAGGTCAAACCTCATACTTGTGATTTCAATTTGAAGAGCGCATTGGATTATGGGAAAATCAAAGTTAATCAACACAAATGTCGCACATGCACAGCGCGACGACCACCACGCTTTAAGTGACTGGGTAGTTTAATTAAATTATTTATATGGTGGGTTCAAAATGGTAAATTTTCTACATCTTTTTTGTGCGGAAAAGTCCATAACTATAACATATAGTATAACTGCAATTCATGCATAATTTTGACGTGTCTTCAGTTTGAGACCAGACATGGATATTAAGGTTGGCTGCAAGGTAAATGGTAATACAAATTAAAATCAAATTACATGATTTACACTCAAAAATACCCATGGTTACCATGGAAACTTCCATTTACACTGTAAAACATTTCCTGGTAAAATGTTCTTTGAAATGTTATATGATATATGTTGCAACTCTTAAAACAAGGACCTTTTTCACACTTTGCTGCTCTACTAAATATTATAATTTTGCTGCAAGGAAAACTGATTGAGAACAAAAATAAGGAGCCGTTTATTATACCGGTATTCTAAATGTTGAAGGGAGTGAAATTTAGTGAATTTCACAAATCAGGGTAATGAATCACAAAATATTGTGTGAATATTTCATTATATAGACATTAAAACTCAAACAGGCTGTTAGTTTTATCAAATTTTATATTTGCCATTATATCCTTAAATCATAAAAATTTCTCGCAGTGACAATTTAATGGTTTAGGGTTTCAACAAGATCATATTGAGTTCAAACATGATTTACCCAGATTTCATACAATTATATATTAACCTTTGCCTAATGTCACTAAAGAAAAAGTCACATTGGGATTTGTCACATCAGATTTTAGTTAATCCCCTGTGATAAATAACACAGTAGATAGGGATTAAATCTGAGTAATCCTTCCTCAGTAAATCTCTTTCAAACTACCTACAAGGGAGGAAAAAAATGACAATATATGGCCATGGGGAACAATATATACCCAGATCTTCCCGATGTCTACATCTAATACTAAATTAAAATTTATTTATACTGAAGCTTGATAAATTGTTAATATCTGTTCATTTTGATATTAATTATTGATTATTAGTATAAATATTGGATATGCCATGTGTATTGTGCAGTAATCATAAAGAATATTTTTTGCATTTATTGCATAGAATTTTTTCAAGCACACCTGAGTATTTTAGTATCATGCTACAATGTTATGAAAATGTTAAAGCTTTCATGAATGATGGCTTTACATGTAACAACATACACACACTATGGTTTCTTTCCTGTCAGATGTAAAAGTGTGATGGTGATTTACATTTGTCTGCATGCTGCAACATTATTCTATCAGGGGTGATCCAGTTGAATTCGAGAGGGGGTTGCAAATTAAAAGAAATAAATCTATCACTGTTAAATTGCATGAAGCTGACAAGTCAAATAACTATCAATGCATGCATGGCGTGTGTTGATTTGTTTGACATATTTGTGGAAGGTGTCTTGGAAGGTGTGAATCTTCCCTAGTTTTCACATTTTATATTAAACAGATTCGATCAGTTAGTACTGCTGACAGCTAAATGATAGATTTGGTTTTTATTTAAAAATGAGTCAATCTTCGAAGACCATTATAGGATATAATTTTGTAAATAACTGCTAAAATTTCCTGAGTTTTTGTAAATTGGTAAAAGTTTATAGTTTTGTTGGCTAATGAACATAATTTCACTGGGCTTGTGACAGGAATGAAAATTACATTTGCATATGCGTTTAAATTATTCAACCATGAATATAAGTGGTGAGAGTTGTGGTTTACAGTAATTTGCCTTGAGTAATAATATATATATCATATTATTATGCATTACTTTCATATCTCATAAGCTTATGCACTCTTTCTTCCACTAACCCTTCGCCTTCGGCTAGTTTGAATGTAGACTGAAAACGAATAATTATAATTTCACCTTTGTACGTCTGACCATGCATTCACACTGGTATCTCAGACATATGCCACAGGGTTGGTTACATTCAAATTTCATACACACATCACACTTCCTATCATACATATTATGAATCACTTCAAGACTAACAATTTAGCGCTAAAAATTCATCAAAATCAAGTATTTCTGCCATTCTGGAATAGAATCTCAGTCATGCATGCATGGTTTCAAAGTTCCCCCAAAGTCGCATTTGTTAGTGAATGAATCTCGGCCAGTGGAATAGATAGACCTTCACATTGACTCTGACAGACTCACCCATGACAGGATTTGAACTTGGGTCTACCAATCATGAGTCTGATACGACAACCACCATGCTACCATGTGACCAGTTCATTCAAACTTTTTGTGCCTATTTAATAAAATGGATCCTTGGTGCACGTTACCCCCCCCCCCCCACACCAGATTGGATCCAGAATAGCTGGCTGGCAGCCATTTTGTTTTATCAAATGCTGTTAGAATCGGGGCCATAAATCTTATTCATTTATTACCAGGGTGATTTTACATCAGTCCGGTGTTTTAAGAACATTTTAGTCCATCAAGGCCGCCAAACACTTGAGCTCATCACAGTCTGAATGCACAAAAAAACAGGTCGTTTTCCTAATACGAATCGTTTATCGATCATGATATTGTGAATTGTAGTTATATTTCCTTGATATCATGTGTTACTGTGTAAAATCAGTTGATTGCATGCTGTCTTTCCTCTCTTATGCACTAGTGGAGTTTTAGTGGAAACAAAATTCAATGTCATTGCAATTGAGTGACGTTGTTTGGTACCAGTGACCTGAGATGCTGCTCTGGTTTGGATGTATTGCAGCGAATCATCTTGTTTATTAGGTACCACTGGCAAAAATATTTGTAACACAAATAACTAGAACCCCTTGACTGCATGCATCGATCCCTTAATTTGCACAACACATTGCTGATCATCGTTTAATTTGCATGCTTTTGCTGAAGCCAACCATTCATTGTCGTTCCTAGGAACCCAGGCATGCATGGATATAAGTGTTAGGAAAAGCTACAGTGTATTTGAGCTGTAGTTAAATTGAATGATTTGATTGGATGAGCTAAAATTCTCTGGATCCATCAATCAGCGTTTCTGTAACAACTCAAATCAATTTCAAATTTAAACCAATAGATTTTATCATCTTATAACTCATATCAGCTCAACTGATAAAAGCATGACTCTTGTTTGGTTTTCCATGGAAACGCATCACAACATGTGACTTTGTGTTTTATTAGCTCCGCTGTCGAGTGGAGCTTATAGTATTGCTTATAGTCGTCGCCGTCGTCAACTTTACATTTTCGACTTCTTCTTAAAAACCACAAACTGTATAGCTATGAAACTTTCTAGGAAGGTACCTTGGGTGGTTCTCTCTCAGATTCGTTCATTTCGTGTGGATATGTTCAATCGTCTTATTTATAGCGAATTTTTTTGTCATTTTTGGTCACAAATGCTATTTTCGACTTCTTCTTGAAAACCACTAGCCCAAATGCTTTGATACTTGGTATGTCATTGCATTGTCATTCCTTGGGTGGACCTCTCTCAGATTTGTTCGTTTTGTGATGATATCTTTAATTCTCTAATTTTGATGAATATTTTTGTCATTTTTGGTAAAAAGTGATATTTTCGACTTCTTGTTAAAAACCGCAAGTCCAATTGCTTTGATATTACATATATAGGTACTACATGTGGACCTCTCTCAGATTTGTTTGTTTTGTGATGATATCTTTAATTCTCTAATTTTGATGAATATTTTTGTCATTTTTGGTAAAAAGTGATATTTTCGACTTCTTGTTAAAAACCGAAAGTTCAATTGCTTTGATATTACCGGTACATATCTTGGTACTACATGTGGACCTCTCTCAGATTTGTTCATTTCCTGATGATATCTTTAATTCTCTAATTTTCATGAATATTTTTGTCATTTTTGGTAAAAAGTGATATTTTCAACTTCTTGTTAAAAACCGCAGGTCCAATTGCTTTGATATTACATATCTACATGTAGGTACTACATGTGGTCCTCTCTCAGGTTTGTTCATTTCGTGATGATTTTGTTCTTCAATTATCTAATTTTGATGAATATTTTTGATAAAAAGTTATATTTTCGAATTTTTGTTGAAAACAGCAAGTTCGATTGCTTTAATACTATACATATTGTTCATTTTCTGATGATATATTCAGTTCTTTAATTGAAATGTGCATTAATAACAGCGGAGCTATCTCAGCCGACAGGCTGCTAGTTTACCATGCAAACACATCAGAGCATGTGCTGGTTTTGTTTGATTTCATTGAATATAGTTTATAGTGCAAGTATAATGGTGAAACGACAGCCGAATAAATTAATGCACGTTGGCTGCCTTCAATCTGCATCAAATCACCTCACCTTGTGGAGCTCAGGTGTACATGCTCAATACACCCAAGGGAGAATATAACCATTGAACTCAACACTATATAGCTATGAACATTATCACAGCCTAACTTGTATTCAGACAAGCTATTCAACGGTAAACTTTAATACCAGCTTTATATGTGGCCAAGTTTGTAATAGATATAAATGTATTGGAGCATAATGGGTTTTTTAATTTTAATATCATAATTACATTCAAATTCAATAAAATGAAATAAATTCATTAACACATAAATTAAATATGAAATATGATGAACTATATACATAAATCATTTGATATATTCTTGAAATAATTGACTGGGAGAATTTACATTGAAATTTACTTGTTTCAGACTCATTTCACAAAATAACAGGTTAACACATCATTTTTCAATGATACTATATGAAAATGTTATAACAATTCCACACTGTTTTAAAATATACATCATTGATGAAGCAAATTCTGAATTATTTTATTATTATCTTTCTACTGCAGGAGTAACTGCCATCCGGAAGTTGCATCTGTCCTACGTGAACATTATGAGAGACCATACTTTTTACCAGTTGACTCTGAGTCCAGTGCATTGGATTGGATCTTTATGGGAGGTTCAGGAATTGGAGCAAATATACATGTATGTATTAGAAACACCACGCGAAAGTGTAGGTCCACTGGTATTCCAAGAGTTTTGGTCAGAGTCAAGTTAAAAGTATGAAGGCAATAGTACAATTTAATTTACTTTGACCAAAACTGTTGGTTTATATATCATTTTTTAAGTGAATGTATCAGACTTTTATACCATGAAAAAATGATAAAATTAAAAGATTCAGCAATCAACATGCTAGTGCTGAACTTATGCTAGTTTACATATAAATACAAAATTTGTCATTTACTCATGAATTATTCAGTGCATACCCCTTGACATTAAAATTCCTGTATTTTTCAAGAATTACCTTCATTGAAAATCGCTAAGTCGCTGGGTTCTACCTGCTGTGGTTGATAGTGTGGATTTAAACTCCTTTTTGTGCCAACTTTTTCAACATTTTCTTCTCATTAACTCCAGACATTGATACTGCTACACAATTTTAGCCAAGTTAGTCTGATTTACAATAGTGATGTTACAATTAAGTTATAGAATAGAATATTTTATTTGACTCAAAATAATGTAAGAAATTACATAACTTATGGCCAAAAACCAACATATATGTATAGCTAAAACAATTCCAGTTGACAATTGATATACAGTTATTTGTTGCAATTACACTCTGCATGTGAATACAACTTTACAATTAGCATAAGGACAAAGAACAATAGCTTACCTGACACATAATACATGCCTCGAATATTTGTAGGAATATTTTCAAAAGGTTGGATTAAATGTTCATAGTAAAAAAATCAAAATCAAAAATAATAAATAATTAAAAAGATATAAATATAATTTAGTTGCAAATTTTGAAGTTAAATAGTTAAGTCACTTTCAATTAATGACCATACACTACAAATTTATTCAGAAACTGTTTACCTAGTCACATGACCACTGAAATGCATAACCAATTTGATTGGAATCAGCTAAGTCTTGCTTTTTGGCCATATTACCTGGTCTTAGGCATGAATAACTGAATTTTATTCTGAAGCATGATGATGATAAAATGCATTAGAATCAATTTTATAAGAAAATTTACTAAATTTCATTCATAAGCAAGAAAAATCTTTTTGTAGAAAACCAAAAAAATTCAAATCAGTAACATCTTAATAATCTCTTCGGAAAGTAATTTTTTATGGTCAAAGATTAAACTCATATTTTAGCTACACTATTACCTTTGTCATGTCAACCTTTTTACTTTTTTGACTTCTTCTTGAAAACTACAAGCTTGAATGCTTTGATACTTGGTGTATATGTACCTTGGGTAGACCTCTCTTAGATTTGTTCATTTCATGATGATATCTTTAATTCCCCGATTTTGGTGAATTTTCTGTCATTTTTGGTAAAAAGTAATAATTTCGACCTCTTGTTGAAAACCGCAAGGCCGAATGCTTTGATAATATACATACAAGTACACATATTTGTTCATTTTGTGATGATATCTTCAATTCTTTAATTGAAATGTGTATTGCTAGCAGCAGAGCTATCTCAGCCGAGAGTTTGCTTGTTAAGCAAATTGAAAAATTATAGTATGCAGGAAATCTTTAATAAATAAATATTTGTTTATGATAATATTTGTATTGATAGTTGGTAAGAAAAACTGCATTGATGCAAATTATAATGCTTTCATTCAATCGGCGGTAATGATATTTTTATTTGCTAATGGATACATCCATTGTGGACCCTTGGTGCTACAGGTGCTGTATTCAAATGGGACTGATTGATCTTCATTTGCTTCAACTGCAATAACGATAGAAAGATTGTAACACAATCCTGTCATGTAGTCCCAAATATCAAATGTGGTTTTGGTGATTAAAACACAATCCTGCCATGTAGTCCCAAATATCAAATGTGGTTTTGATGATTAAAACCACTCTATGTATGATTTGAAGTGAAATTTCCCAGATGAGACAACAGTGATGTTCAATGTCTGATTCCCACTCTTGATCAGTCTACATAACCATTCTAACACTCTGGTATTGTAAAAAAAACAATATCATGTAATGGAAAAATTAATATTTAATATTTCATGTTTTTTTTTGATAGAGTTTTCACACTTTTTCACACAGGTGTGATTGCACCTGGAATATAGACTTGATCAAAGATGTGTGTTTGAATTCTACACACAGTCACCCAACATGCATTAATTAGAATATATTAGAATATATACCTGATAATAGGGTTTTATTAGAATATATACCTGATAATAGGGTTTTATTAGAATATATACCTGATAATAGGGTTTTATTAGAATATATACCCGATAATAGGGTTTTATTAGAATATATACCTGATAATAGGGTTTTATTAGAATATATACCCGATAATAGGGTTTTATTGACATCATAAATGTTACATTTATATAGATATAAATAAAATAAACAATTTGAAATTTTTGAATAACTATGTCCAGAATTGATACAAACAAAACTTTGATGGTTTTTAAATTATTTTCTGTGAAATGCTGACCATTTCAATATTGAAGGATTAGACAATTTTTGTATATCCCTTACAGTCAAGTGTCCAGCTTCCGTGGTTTTGGCATGTGTGTTAATCTTTAATCTCATATATTTCAGAATATAATCCCTACCACCATCATTATAGGTTGATTTACAGCATTGCTATGACCAAACACTAATGATGTGCCAAAGTTGCTGTGACACGATGATAACGCTTCTAATAGAGATAAATTTACTAATATGTTTTGTACTTGGAATGTGATGCATTCAATTTCAATTCCCTCAGTTCTGTTTTCACGTCACCAATAAATAATGTCAGTAATACATGTCTTGAACTTCATGGAAGCATCAATTGTCACAATGCCCAAAGAGTTCAATTTGTCTTGGTGCTTTTCCAAATATATAGATTTTCTTCATACTTCTATTATGTGTTGAAACAATTTTATCAAATTAAATCACAACAAGCATTACAAAAAAATTCCACTCTTCCACCTTGTCTTAATATTCCTGAATATCACAAAATGAACAGAGATTAAAAATAATAGGAGGTTATCACCTGATGTCACTGGTTTGTAGAACTGCTTGATACGAGCGACGTCGTGGGCTAGTGTTAATATGCACAAATCAAAAAATGTTACACTTTATGATTCTATGAGTATCCTAATTATGTGTGACGTCTAAGCTCGTTCAATACGCCTTTGCAGTTTAACGATCGACTGCCAATTATTTTCAAAACCAACAAAATTTTTACCCTTTTTAGCTGATTTTTTTTTTTAAATGAACTTTCAGTCATCATTATTATGAGTTATTGTCAATGTACCATTTGAGTAATTGTTAATTGTTATCCAGTTGGAAATTCTCATACTGTAGTGATAAAAAATGTACTGTACACGCTTTGGTTTTCTGCATATACTGAGCACACATAAAATGATGATGTTTATCATGCATATTGCCATATGTTTAGTGAGTAATATCAGCGATATTTCTCACTAATTGTCACTATTGTGAATGATATAATCACATATAGACACATCATCTTTGGCTCTGTGTTTATTGTTTATAGCTGCATCACTGTTATATACTTGTATACTTTTCTGTCTTTTCATACATCTCTGATAGGTGATTTTCCGTTCAACTGCGAGATCTCGCGAGATGCATGAAAGACGCACATTGAACGTCTGCCGCAAAAATCAAACGATTTGATTTTGAACTCAAATTTCTTTATTTTGTAGCTCATATCGACCGGCCGATCTTCGACAGAGGAATATTGCTTTCGAATACCCTCACTTAATCGGAATTGTCTGTCATCAAATGTGTACAGCACAATTATTAAGCTCGGAAATGCCCCCCAATATATTTTTGCGTTGAATCCCACATGATGTTTGACGCCACTACGACGCTATGACCTTTGTTTGTCCTTTTTTAGCTCCGCTGTCGACTTTGTCGAGCGGAGCTTATCATATGAGTGATTGTCCGTCGTCGTCCGTGTCAATGTTTTACTTTTTCGACTTCTTCTTGAAAACTACAAGCCTGAATGCTTTGATACTTGGTGTATATGTACCTTGGGTAGACCTCTCTCAGATTTGTTCATTTCATGATGATATCTTCAATTCTCTAATTTTGGTGAATATTTTTGTCATTTTTAGTAAAAAGTGATATTTTCAACTTCTTGTTAAAAACTGCAAGTCAAATTGCTTTGATATTACATATATAGGTACTACATGTGGACCTCTCTCAGATTTGTTCATTTCATGATGATATCTTTAATTCTCTAATTTTGATGAATATTTTTGTAATTTTTGGTAAAAAGTGATATTTTCGACTTCTTGTTGAAAACCGCAAGTGCAATTGCTTTGATATTACATATATAGGTATGACATGTGGACCTCTCTCAGAATTGTTCATTTTCTAATGATATCTTCTGTTCTTTAATTGCCATGTGCATTGCTAACAGCGGAGCTATCTCAGCCGACAGGCTGCTTGTTTACGTTCGATTTCACGCATAACGTGTGATTCTCGCAGTGAACAGAAAATGGTCTATTGTGATACAGCTGATAATGTGACCTTAGGGTTGTAAATTGAAGTTCAAAATATCAGGATGACATACATGTACATACTATTTCTTTTCTGCGAACCAATTATGTTTTATTGCGAACCAATTATGTTTTATTGGTTATGTGTGCTATATGTGGTGGTCTGCTTGTGTGCCACTTTAAATAATAATAACTTTATTACACAACTGCACCATCAGTGGGTGCTGTATGGTAAGGATACAGATCAGAAAAAACAAACACAAATAAACAAAAACAACAAAAGTTTCAAAATTACAAACAAATCAAAGGGTATATATAAAATACGTATTACAATTAGGTTTTATAAATTGTATTTTTTAAGTATTTTGCAAGTGCAGTACTACTATTTATGATGCAAGTGAATATTAAATTTTGGTTAATTGTACTGCACATTTCTAATTTACAATCTTCTAAGAGGGTATTTCTTTCTTGAGTGAAGAAGCAACAGTCAAGGATGAAA